CTGGAGAATGCGCAGAGAATGTTTACTAAGCGAAGACCACTCAGTAAAACACCTAAATTATTGGCACTGCATAAAATCATTCAAATTATTCTCCCAGGAATGCAGGCGAGAGAGATCGACCACAGATTCTGAATCTGCATTCGAATTATTCCTTGAGAGAGAAAGACATGGTTAGGTTATGTTGGTTTCGGGGCTTAGCGGCCCTGCGGCCCGGTCGCTGCCCAGACTTCCTCGTTGCTGGACTGGTCAATTAGGCTGTTGGACACCTGATTGAAATGGTAGTGTCTAAAATAGTCCATTGAAACGTACAGAAGACTTCAATAAGCACTAAGGTCCCCAATGATTTTCAGGATTCTCTCTGTAGATATAAAGGGTATTAACTGATCAAGTGGGCTGTAGGTCCGCAAACTGCAGCGTCCATCATTTTAGTTAGACAGTCAAGCAGGAGGCCTACCTAGTGACGCGCCGCGGGGACGCTGACCCCTTATGGTGGACCGCTGTACCTATCATGGTACAGCGGTACAGCGGCTGTTACAGTGGACCAAATAAACCACGTTAACAGTGCAGCAGGTCGTTAGTATACAGGACCTGCCTCGCTACAAGTCTGGCAGTCAGGGCGTGACTCCCCCATCACAGGACAGTTTAGTCATTCTGTTCACCTGTACTGGGTGTTCCGCGTGGACCAACTAGGTACAGGTGTGATCGATGACCAGGTATACCGGGTCCTCCCGGTACTGTGGAGTTACTTCTTGAGAGGTTATCTTGAGTAGATAACCTCAACCGATTAAGGCAGCGTCTGGGATGCTCTAGGACGCAGGTTTGAATCCTCGTCACAGCCCTTGTGGATTTTGTTCAATATCTTGAGGTGATTTCGGGGCTTAGCGTCCCCCGCGGCCCGGTCCTCGACCAGGCCTCAATTTTCTTACACACCCCCCCCCCCCCTCCAGGAAGCAGCCCATAGCAGCTGTCTAACTCCCAGGTACCGATTTACTGCTAGATGAACAGTAACATCAGGGTGAAAGAAACTGCCCATTTGTTTCCGCCGGGGACCGAACCCGGAACCTCAGGACTACGAATTACGAGCGCCGTCCACTTATCCATCAGGCCCCCTCTAAACTCCTGTGGGACTTTAAGATGGTCTGACCCTTGGGCGTCTGGTCCGGTCGACCAGACTACACATAAGGGGCATAACTGGCCGACCCCTCACAGTGTTCAAGAGAGAACTGGATAAGCACCTCCAAAGGATACCTGATCAACCAGGCTGTGACTCATACGTCAGGCTGCGAGCAGCCGCGTCTAACAGCCTGGTTGACCAGTCCAGCAACCAGGAAGCCTGGTCGACGACCGGGCCGCGGGGACACTAAGCCCCGGAAGCACCTCAAGGTAACCTCAAGGTGGGTGCAGGCATTCTGAGGGACCCCCACCACCAGCCCTGACGTGAGTGGTGAAGGGGGTCTTGAAGGGGTCCTTGGGGGATCCTGGGGGGTCCTTAGGGGGGTGTTGGTGACCCCCATAACCACAAAGGGGGGACGCTGGCCAATACACCGTGATGGTGTCAATAATGTGACGAGGCTTAAGGAGGATGTGGGTGCCTGCAGGCCGCCATCGTGGCCTCGCGGCTCATCAATACTCTCCAGTCTTCAACTTGTCCTTCAAGTAGGCTTCACATCCCTTCACAGGCTACTGCTGCTGGTGGTGAGTGTACTGTGGTGGTGGTGGTGGTGGTGGTTGTGGTGGTTGTGGTGGTGGTGGTGGTGGTTGTGGTGGTTGTGGTGGTGGTGGTGGTGGTTGTACTGTGGTGGTTGTGGTGCTGGTGGTGGTGCTGGTGGTGGTTGTACTGTGGTGGTTGTAGTGGTTGTGGTGGTGGTTGTGGTGCTGCTGGTGGTTGTACTGTGGTGGTTGTGGTGGTGCTGGTGGTGGTTGTACTGTGGTGGTTGTGGTGGTGCTGGTGGTGGTTGTACTGTGGTGGTTGTGGTGGTGCTGGTGGTGGTTGTACTGTGGTGGTGGTTGTTGTACTGTGGTGGTTGTGGTGGTGCTGGTGGTGGTTGTACTGTGGTGGTGGTTGTTGTACTGTGGTGGTTGTGGTGGTGCTGGTGGTGGTTGTACTGTGGTGGTTGTGGTGGTGCTGGTGGTGGTTGTACTGTGGTGGTGGTTGTTGTACTGTGGTGGTGGTTGTGGTGGTGCTGGTGGTGGTTGTACTGAGGTGATTGTGGTGATGGTGATGATTGTACTGGTGATTTAACTGGTAGTTACTGCAGTTTTAAGTATTTGTAATGCTAACCATATAGACATTTCCTTCTATACTCCTCTGAGAGGGTTAGAGATCTGCTAAACATCATAGTGTTGTAGTGAGTTACTGAGCACTCAACCACAGGTGATCGTACCCCCTTTCACAGGTGTGGTATTAGTGGGTGCATATCGTACCCCTTTTCACAGGTGTGGTAGTAGTTGTGGTAGCTACCAGGGTCGTGAGAAGGTCGTAGACAAACTGTACCTCTGACAGAAACTTGAACAGACCTTCTTGAGGTTATCTTGAGATGATTTCGGGGCTTTAGTGTCCCCGCGGCCCGGTCCTCGACCAGGCCTCCACCCCCAGGAAGCAGCCCGTGACAGCTGACTAACACCCAGGTACCTATTTTACTGCTAGGTAACAGGGGGGCATAGGGTGAAAGAAACTCTGCCCGTTGTTTCTCGTCGGCGCCTGGGATCGAACCCAGGACCACAGGATCACAAGTCCAGCGTGCTTTGAACCTTTGAATCGAATAGAAAAAATTAATTTCAATCTATACCACACTTTTGAGTGGGTTCCAGGGATCAATGTCCTCTAGGCCGGTCTCCAACCTGGAACATATACACCTGTGCTTTACCTGTGACCGACTTGGACTATTATTCCACTCTTGCAGGCCACATGCCGACTGCCTGATCAGTCAAGCTATTGCTGCTAGCGACCGCTAAGCATACCGAACCGCGCCATTAGTATTGACAATGTCCGCCAGGGGTCGCGACCTGGCTCCGGGAACCATTCAACGATAGAATGTAAACTGCCCACTTGAACAGCCTTGTCCTGTCCCCCTGTACCGGTACACTGCCCGGTACCCCCTTCACCGGTACCGCTACCACCAGTATACTCTCCCCCAGTACCCCCATCACCGGTACACTGCCCGGTACCCCCTTCACCGGTACCGCTACCACCAGTATACTCTCCCCCAGTACCCCCATCACCGGTACACTGCCCGGTACCCCCTTCACCGGTACCGCTACCACCAGTATACTCTCCCCCAGTACCCCCATCACCGGTACACTCTCTCCGGTACTCCTAGGTAGGGGTATCAGTATCATCATTACTACCCCCGGTGCACCCGGTACCGGACATTGGTACCTCCCCGGTACCGGACATTGGTACCTCCCCGGTATATATAACTGAGAAACTCCGCCATGCGTGCGTGTAAGCGTGCGTGTGACAGCGCACGCGCGTGTGCATGCGTGCATATTTATGCTCAATTTGTATTCACGTGCGCATTCTTGTGCGTGCATGCAACAGGGGGCTGGGCTTCACTTCTGAGTGCGTGCGTGCACTCACCTAGTTGTGCTTGCGGGGGTTGAGCTTCGGCTCTCTGCGTGTGTGTGTGTGTGTTTGTATGTGTCTGGGGTGTGTGAGTGAGTGCATGTGCGCGAGTGAGTGTGTCCGGGCGTGTGCGTGAGTGTGTCTACGCGTGTGAGTGAGTGTGTCCGGGTGCGTGCGTGCGTGAGTGAGTGCCTGGGGTAAGGACCCTGAAGCTGGGCACAGTGACTCAGCCATCAAGCACAGTGCCCCATACCGCGAGGTCCTGCCCAGCGCTCCTTCTCCAACGTGTACCACGGTACACGGTACCAGGGGGTCTCCCTTGCACCGTAGACGGTACCAGGGGTCTCCCTTGCACCGCAGATACACGGTACCAGGAGTTCCCCCTTGCACCGCAGATACACGGTACACAGCACCCAAACCATGAACAATACACACTACAATCAACAAGGAATACTAGTGCAAAATACAGGTACAAAATACAACTTCATTGTATGATACGATGCAAATAAACTATACTGTATGATCTATGGCAATAGGGGGAGCACAGACTGCACAAGACGGGGGTAGAGTGCACTTGACAATGACAAGAAGAGTGGACGCACTCGAGGCCTGTGTCACTGATATCCGGGAGTCTTGTGTCAGTCAGGGTCACAGTCCTTGGCACTCTGCATGCTGCAAGCACAGGCTTGACTCTGCAAGCACAGATTGACTCTGCGTGCTTCAAGCACAGGCTTGACTCTGCATACTTCAAGCACAGATTGACTCTGCGTGCTTCAAGCACAGGCTTGACTCTGCATACTTCAAGCACAGGCTTGACTCTGCGTGCTTCAAGCACAGGCTTGACTCTGCGTGCTTCAAGCACAGGCTTGGCTCTGCGTGCTTCAAGCACAGGCTTGACTCTGCGTGCTTCAAGCACAGACTTGAGTCACAATGTCCCGCTTAAGAACCCTAACTTGAATTCGCGAGGCAGTCGTGTTAGAGGCAGCCAAGTAGAGGCGCGGGAGAAGACACGAGAGGATGGAACACTGCCAAATACGGGAAGGGAAGGAATAGAGGTGATGGGGAAGGTTATATATGGGAGTAAGGAAGGTATGGAGCTGCAGGTATGGGGGGGGGGGAAATAAAGCCCACCAGGAACCACAGAGCTCAACCCCCGCGAGCACAATTAGGTGAGTACACCCTGTGTGACCTAGCAGTAAATAGGTACCTGGGAGTTAGTCAGCTGTCACGGGCTGCATCCTGGGGTGTGTGAAAAAAAAATTCCACGAGTACACAACAGCCTACTCACATGTCGCACCAAACAGCTAAAACTCACCAGTTACTCACAGTATATAAAGCAGTTCCTCAGAAAGAGCTCAGTAAATCCAGCCGTTACTCATACAAATCCCAGCAGGAACTCATCAGATCCTGGCGGTAAAAAGGAGCAGGTACTCACCCCTTCTTCTTGGTGGCCTCGGACTCGGAGTCTGAGGGCTGATACAGCCCGTCGTCGTCGTCTTTGTCTGTGAAGTCGAGGCAGCGAGCGGCCCTCAGGTTCCGCCCCATCGACATGTCCCCCGTCCGGGCTGTGGGGGCAGGAGCAGTCTTAGTTATACCTCTGTTGAGGGTGTGTGTGTATGGCTGTGTGTGTGTGTGTGTGTGTGTGTGTGTGTGTGTGTGTGTGTGTGTGTGTGTGTGTGTGTGTGTGTGTGTGTGTGTGTGTGTGTGTGTGTGTGTGTGTGAGTGTGTGTGATGGTGTGTGTGTGAGTGTAGTGTGTGTGTGTGTGTGTGTGTGTGTGTGTGTGTGTGTGTGTGTGTGTGTGTGTGTGTGTGTGTGTGTGTGTGTGTGTGTGTGTGTGTGTGTGTGTGTGTGTATGGCTGTGTGTAGGTGTATGTGTGTGTGTGTGTGTGTGTGTGTGTGTGTGTGTGTGTGTGTGTGTGTGTGTGTGTGTGTGTGAGTGAGTGAGTGAGTGAGTGAGTGAGTGAGTGAGTGAGTGAGTGAGTGAGTGAGTGAGTGAGTGAGTGAGTGAGTGACTGAGAGAGTGAGTGAGTGAGTGAATGACTGAGTGAACTAATAATCAAAACACTACAACTACTCTACTAAAATTAATAACATTAACCAATCACATTAACAATTAAAAAGAAAGATAAAAAAAGGACATTTTCAAGCCTAAATTTCATAAGTTTCATACTGGCGCTTCGTTAATTATTAAACGAGACACTTCGTCAAACACCGCCCGACGCACTTCGTTATTCAATCGTTAAACGTTTGAATGTGAAAACAACGATTTCAGATTAGCTAAAAACGATTTATCCTGAAATTCCTCGTTCCAGGACACGTGGAGCCTCGTCGTTACCAACACGTTAAGCAGAAAACGAAGGATTTTTAGAGGAAATAAGCCCTGAGGTAGCGGTTGGTGTAATGTGAACCCCTGAGGGCCCCTGGTCACTACCAGAGGGCCCTTGGCCACTACCAGAGGGCCCCTGGCCACTACCAGAGGGCCCCTGGCCACTACCAGAGGGCCCTGGCCACTACCAGAGGGCCTCTGGACACTACCAGAGGGGCCCCTGGCCACTACCAGAGGGCCCTGGACACTACCAGAGGGGCCCTGGCCACTACCAGAGGGCCCCCTACCACTACCAGGGGCCCTGGAGACCAACAGACCAACGGTCGACCTCCTTTATGTAGCTAACAAGATTAACCCACTTTTGTCCCGTGAGCTCCGCCGTCCTTTCAACCCCAGATCCATCCCGTCTATCCATCGATCGTTGTCTCATTACACAGTGAATTTTTAGCCGCCTGTGATGTCCTTTCAACTCTCTATCCTCCTCTCATCCTACTGCGGCGAATCTTCAACTCTATCCTCCTCTCATCCTACTGCGGCGAATCTTCAACTCTATCCTCCTCTCATCCTACTGCGGCGAATCTTCAACTCTCTATCCTCCTCTCATCCTACTGCGGCGAATCTTCACTCTCTACTCTCTATCCCTCCTCTCATCCTACTGCGGCGAATCTTCAACTCTCTATCCTCCTCTCATCCTACTGCGGCGAATCTTCAACTCTCTATCCTCCTCTCATCCTACTGCGGCGAATCTTCAACTCTCTATCCTCCTCTCATCCTACTGCGGCGAATCTTCAACTCTCTATCCTCCTCTCATCCTACTGCGGCGAATCTTCAACTCTCTATCCTCCTCTCATCCTACTGCGGCGAATCTTCAACTCTCTATCCTCCTCTCATCCTACTGCGGCGAATCATTCTATTTTACTTCACATATTGTTCGTTTACTCTAAATCTGCTCTATCTCTACCCTTCATCCATCAGCTCCAAGACCCCCGTCTATCTATCTATCTCCATTTACCCTGGCTTATCCCTCGTCCTAGTCACCCTTCGCTACAGACATTCAACCTTTACCATACCTTCTTTCCCTGTTCTAATCTGCCCTGTCCCTCCCTCCCTGTTCAAAATGTTCCCTGCCTGGCCTCGTCTCTCTCTCTCTCTCTCCTTCGCATTATTCTGCCAACAAAGAAGGGACTTAATCCAACTTGATGTGGTACAAACAGGGTACACAATGAAGAGGGGAAGACCGCCAGAGCACGGTGGAGTGTCCCATCTTCAGAGGGCTCCCAGGAGTACATGTGCTGTACCACATCACAGCAGGAGTACACGTCCTGTACCACATCACAGTGGGAGTACATGTCCTCCACCACATCACAGCGGGAGTACACGTCCTGTACCACATCACAGTGGGAGTACATGTCCTCCACCACATCACAACAGGAGTACACGCCCTCCACCACATCCCAACAGGAGTACACGCCCTCCACCACATCACAACAGGAGTACACGCCCTCCACCACATCACAACAGTACACACCCTCCACTACATCACAACAGGAGTACACGCCCTCCACCACATCACAACAGGAGTACACGCCCCCCACCACATCACAACAGGAGTACACGCCCCCCACCACATCACAACAGGAGTACACGCCCTCCACCACATCACAACAGGAGTACACGCCCTCCACCACATCACAACAGGAGTACACGCCCTCCACCACATCACAACAGGAGTACACGCCCCCCACCACATCACAACAGGAGTACACGTCCTCCACCACATCACAACAGGAGTACACGCCCTCCACCACATCACAACAGGAGTACACGCCCTCCACCACATCACAACAGGAGTACACGCCCTCCACCACATCACAACAGGAGTACACGCCCTCCACCACATCACAACAGGAGTACACACCCCCCACCACATCACAACAGGAGTACACGCCCTCCACCACATCACAACAGGAGTACACGCCCTCCACCACATCACAACAGGAGTACACGCCCCCCACCACATCACAACAGGAGTACACGCCCTCCACCACATCACAACAGGAGTACACGCCCTCCACCACATCACAACAGGAGTACACGCCCATCCACACCCCCCCACATCACAACAGGAGTACACGCCCTCCACCACATCACAACAGGAGTACACGCCCTCCACCACATCACAACAGGAGTACACACCCTCCACCACATCACAACAGGAGTACACGCCCTCCACCACATCACAACAGGAGTACACGCCCTCCACCACATCACAACAGGAGTACACGCCCTCCACCACATCACAACAGGAGTACACGCCCTCCACCACATCACAACAGGAGTACACACCCCCCACCACATCACAACAGGAGTACACGCCCTCCACCACATCACAACAGGAGTACACACCCCCCACCACATCACAACAGGAGTACACGCCCTCCACCACATCACAACAGGAGTACACGCCCTCCACCACATCACAACAGGAGTACACACCCCCCACCACATCACAACAGGAGTACACGCCCTCCACCACATCACAACAGGAGTACACGCCCCCCACCACATCACAACAGGAGTACACGTCCTCCACCACATCACAACAGGAGTACACACCCCCACCACATCACAACAGGAGTACACGTCCTCCACCACATCACAACAGGAGTACACGCCCTCCACCACATCACAACAGGAGTACACGTCCTCCACCACATCACAACAGGAGTACACGCCCTCCACCACATCACAACAGGAGTACACACCCTCCACCACATCCCAACAGGAGTACACGTCCTCCACCACATCACAACAGGAGTACACGTCCTCCACCACATCACAACAGGAGTACACGTCCTCCACCACATCACAACAGGAGTACACGTCCTCCACCACATCACAACAGGAGTACACGCCCTCCACCACATCACAACAGGAGTACACCCCCCCCACCACATCACAACAGGAGTACACGCCCTCCACCACACCACAACAGGAGTACACGCCCTCCACCACATCACAACAGGAGTACACGCCCTCCACCACATCACAACAGGAGTACACACCCCCCACCACATCACAACAGGAGTACACGCCCCCCACCACATCACAACAGGAGTACACGCCCTCCACCACATCACAACAGGAGTACACACCCCCCACCACATCACAACAGGAGTACACACCCCCCACCACATCACAACAGGAGTACACGCCCTCCACCACATCACAACAGGAGTACACACCCTCCACCACATCACAACAGGAGTACACACCCTCCACCACATCACAACAGGAGTACACGTCCTCCACCACATCACAACAGGAGTACACGTCCTCCACCACATCCATAAATGAGGAAATATAACAGAGGAAAACCAATACTTTAGACCAACATCTCTAACATCACACTATACAGATCTTGGGAGAGTTACAGAGGAACAGAATCACAACGTCACACAACCCTGGACGAAACGGGTTCACAACAGGGCGCTCCCCTGGAAACACAAACCGAAACTGTCTCTATTTTCCGCTTGTTACAACTTGTAATAAAGTTGTTACATCTTGGCTTAACGTGCTTATGACGTATTAGAACGTTGTTACAACTTGCTATATTGGTTGTTATAACTGGTTAGGAGGGCTTAAAAACTTGTTCGAACGTTGCACCAACGTCGTGGTTTCGGTGTGTGTTTGGCGGGTCCCGCCTCTCACATCTCCTGGACCTCCATGATCTTAGATGCCAAGTAAGACGAGCTAAACGGAGTTGTAATATACAAACATTTCCTATTTTTTTACCCTGTCGTAGCTCAGTCGCTTAAGGCAGTGTCTAGGACGCTCCCGGACGCAGGTTCGAATCCTCGTCACGGCCCTTGTGGATTTGTTCATTTCGCAAAGGCTTGCACCAAGCGTGACCACAGTGTCACTGCACGAAAAGAATACATGAAAACAAAGGTTGAGAGATTGATTGATCGATTGATCGATTGATTGATCGATTGATCGATCGATTGATTGATTGAGAGATTGATCCTGACCTTACTAAGATGCTTAAGATCAATCCTTTTTGGTGATTTAGTAGACGTGAAAGAAGCGAGATATCAAGGTATGTGGGATGGGAGAATAGGGAAGGGGAGTAATGGGATGGGAGTGGGAGAGTGTATGGGACGCCCACGGTGGGCCGGGACACGAACCAACGCTGGGACACTCCTCCAACAGGCAAGGAAGGAGGAGGAGGGCGAGGA